GTTAGGCTCAGGTGTGTCCAGTTCAATTGGCCAATCAAAATTGTTTTCTCCCAGCAATTTGGGCAGCAGTTTACAGACAAAGTCCGTGGATCTACCATTCTCGGCCTACAATACATATATTCTGCGGGTGTGAGCGCGCCTCCAAATCCTCCAGCTTTGCTTGCTGTAGAGAGCATTGAGCTGCCAGACTGTAGTGTCCTTTCTCCAGCTCCGAAATCCGTCTATCTTGTGACCCAACTGTGGCCTCGGTTGATGTCACACTGTCACAAATATCCGAAAGCGCCTCTTTGAGACTGGAAATTGATCCGTTGAGCTCCACAAACCTCATGTCGACCATGCTGGTAAGCTTACTAATAGCTGATAGGACGTCCTCATTGGTAGCGGATGGACCTTGAGAGCACGTGGGGCTTGTGTTTGCATTAGCCACTTCCAGGCTTGCTAGTTTGGTCCGGTCGTCCAAGGTCTCCTCCCAGGAGCTTTTTTCTTTCTTAATAGGTTTGGGCTTGGTCGTCCTTTTCATAGTGTGACGGTGCACTACGAATATGCTAGGCAGAATTTTAAATGTTATTATTTAGGGTGAGATACAGTAATAGTGGAGTTGAGTCGGAGCTCCCTCAAAACACGTCTACTCCATGTTGAGACCTAGGCCACGCCCCCTTAATAGAATTTATTTTAACTGGTAAGAGCATTGGTACTGGATTTGATATTGAAGTACAGGCTGCATGTCTGATATTTGTAACTTTGCAAACTCATTGCAGCCCTTATTGGATTTGAGTTCATCAGCCGAGGAGATACTATGGTTTGTCAACCTGTGAACTGTGGCAAATAAAGCACAAGCAGTGTTAATTATTTTTGTTAATAACCACAATGATTTAAACAAACACTTAAATGTAGCTTGCACAACAATCACAAATACTTCTATCACAGTCCACAATAAATTTTTATATTGTCTGCCAGAAAACTGACACATTCAAAATTACTGTACATTTCTTTCTTCATGAAACAGTCACCAAAAGTTATGTTAACATCTTTCAATAACAGACATATGAAGAATTTACATATACTGAAGAAACAAAACTCTTCTGTTAATGCTTGTGATAGATCAGCTAACTTGTTTGATGCCAAAACATAAAAGTATAATAAATAGTTAAAGTGCTTTTTTTGTAATTATATTATGTAAGGATATATTTTTTATTTCATTATTTTCTACCAAACAGTAACAATGTGCAGACTAACTTGGTTTAAAACCTGAAAACATTTAAGTGGTTTTAAGTTTTGTTTCTCACAAACTGAAACTGGTCTGTTTTTAGTTTGCATCAACATAAACAGACATGACCTGGATGATTTACACATACAGAAGAAAGTTAATCCGTTAATGCTTGTTGAGAGAATTTCCTCTTTACTAAAAAAAACAGAAAGGTGCGAAGGGTTGTTGAGCCGTCAACCACAAACAATGTTGAAGTGTTGAAATGCATTTTGCAAATGTGGTACTTTCCCAGGCTTGCTGCTTCAGGAAGTTAGCCCTGAATCACAGTTAAAGAAAGTTTTTATACACCAAGTATCTTTTTGAACACTATGCCACATCATTAAATCATACACGTGTGTAAATGAGGAACACAATGGCAAAGGACTCATCCAAAATCTTAATATCTGCCCCTTATTCAATAAATACTGGGAACTGATGGGAAAAAGAGCAGACCAAAATCTTAGCAGGGAAGGGGAGTGAGGAGACAGAAATAGAACCGAGGCTCA